AACTTTGACTAAATTTGCAATAAGTTACAGGAGATGGAGAAAAACTTCTTACAAGGAAAGGCTCCCAGGTCGCCATGGCCATTCAAGAAGAGATGTATACGCTAGATGTGCCTTTGAACGCTGATCTCAAATCTACCTTCCAAATCTGCTAAACGATTCTCTGAACGGAGTTATGAAGCAAAACAGCGCAACGGTAGTGGTCGGGACTCACAGTCAAAACGTCGTAGGATCGGTCCCTTATCGTGTTACTGTTTTGCATTCTTCAGGAATTCAGTTAAATAAGCTATTAAAAGCCGTTTAGCTGTATTCCTAAAGAATGGGAAACAGTGGACACGATAAAAGACCGATCCTGAGATCAGCGTTCGAAGGCACATCTAGGCGCATACATTTTTTCTCGAATGGCCATGGCGACCTGGAAGCCTTTCCTTGTTAGGTCCTCCAGCAGAGATTAGTGGATCGGAACCGACGAAGAGCTGTAAGCAACCAACCGATCCGACGAAGAAGCGATCACTATTTGCTGACGTGCAGGCGACATTCACCACTAAATACTTCCACATGGCAATCGTAACGGGATCTTCTTTTCCCAACCGAGAAAGTAATACGAAATTGCTTCGTGGAGAACATCTTCCCTGCTGGTGAAGAGTGTCAGACCACAAAAGGTCGACTAGGAAGGAAAAACCCTTGTAAACGAAGCCACTAGAACGTTTGGGTTCCCTGCCTAGACGAACCTTATAATTTGTCAATCCCCAGTACTCTCCAAGACAAATAAGAAAAGAATCCTCGACCTTGGCTGAAAGCATTCTCTTACCCGCCGCATTATCTCGACTGGTACCTTCCAGGCACTTTCGTTTCGAGTCCTGAGCCAGCACTTCGTTTGGAAAACTCCAGCAAAGAACAAGCGCTAAAAGTCGCTATCAACCACCTCACTGCCTCATAGGTACCCTATGACGTTAGCAACGACATCGCGTACGTTTTGGTAACCCTCATCGACCATGGGACCAATATTTATCCCACTCGGGGCAGTTTTCGCGAAAAAAGTAGGATAAACTGAATCTCAAGGCAAAATTCTATTGAAACGTCCATATTACACATTCGATATTTGCGCCCAGATAACCGGCTGGGTTCCACCTTACGAGCAACTACGCTACAACTTCTTCCATATAAATTCATTCATTTAAAACATATATATGAACAACACATTACACTGGGACACAAATCGCGGAACTCCCCTTCCAGATCGCCACTGCAGAAAAACGAAAGATGTATCAGGGGGTGGAGTTTCTAGTCCGGTAGTTCCGCTATAACTAGAAGAGATCGGGATGTAGTATTGAACTCACAGTAGTGCGAGAAGAAAGAAGAGCTCTAGCGCGTAGAAACCCGTGCGTTGGAGATAAATTACAAGAAAATTCCAGAGCGAGAGAGCCAAACATATCGATTAATCATCGGAATCAAAATGAAATGTATCAATATGTGTTATGTATTAGCGATTTCTGATGGAAATATCATACGCATAATCTGGAATGTATGGGCAAATGGCAAAGAGACAAAGCGTGGCGCGACCTCCACGAGAAAGAGGAAGCTTGAAGAACGTTGTGGTCAGACTCAGGAGTTCTGCTGATCGTCCTGTGTGGACTCGTCACTCTCATGTTCTCCAACTCCTTCGCCTTTGCTCTCTTTCTTGTGCTTCATTCTCCTGTTTTGAAACCATATTTTCACCTGAAATCAGGAAAATCAACCCGAATACTCAAAAAAAATAGCAGGTGCAAGGTACAACAAGGAAGTGGAAAAGGTCACTCAATACGGAGAAGTGTCGGGCGTGTCAAGGGGATAGACTTACAAAATTTTGATTTATCTTCGTTTCACTGCCTGCTTTTTTCGCTATTTCGGATTAAAGCAGTGCCCAGACAGCACAAGTTTGTTTATAGTCCCGTCCAAGGCCAAATGTTTCCCACACAACTCAGCACCTTCCTGATGACAACAGAGTGGCCCTTCACATATAAATCCCATATCGCTGGTCTGACAAGGGAGGTCTTCCAGGGCAATTTGCGCTTTTTCAAAACGGTCTTGTGCATATTGTAGGGACGCATGTAGGGAACGCAAAACCATGTTTCATTTTCGCTGAACGGTTATAGCAGTACCAAAAAAGAAGCATAAGGTTTCGATCCCCGTGGCGACTAAATTTTGCATTTGGGTTGGCGCCTACGGTTTGGTGCCAAATCGCGCTAAATATCAAAATCAGATGTCAAATTCATCGTCAGGACCATTTTGAAGCCAACAAGTGGCCGCCAACCTTGATTGCAAAATTTAGTCGCCGCGGGGATTGAACCATCAAGAGTATTATTCACCACTTTTTTGGTACTACTAAAACCGTTCAGCGAAAACGAAACATGGTTTTGTGGTCCATACATGCGTCCCTACAACATGTACTAAACCGTTTCCAAAAAGCGCACCTTGCCCTGAAGGACCTCCCTTGTGAGAGCTCAATCAAGCCAGCTTGAAATCGGCTGTATTGGCAATGAAAACCTGATTTTCTACAGTGTGCGCAATATATGTCACTTCAATAGATTCAGGTCTAGTTGTGGTAGCAGTAGCAATACTGACAGAAATAGAATATTTAGTGCTATCGCAGTATACGGGGACATCCTCTAGGACTATGCCTAGGAGGAGCGAGGAGCTCCAGGGAAAATGAAGGCGGCTCGCGCACCCTGGAGTCCTCCCTTTGCTGAGACTTACCAGGAAATGCTTTCAACCCCATGGAACTATGAATGGAGACTGGGATGAATCAATAGAGTAATGAATGCTAGTTACAAATATTGAGACCAAAACTGCTACGTGAACATTCCAAGCAAATCGTGGGCGGTCAAAGTTGACAGGAAGGGTAGCGTCAGTATAGGAGGCGAGCTAATCTAACCGCATCGGCGTTTTTCTGAAACAGTACCTATAGGGGTAAACAGATGGCCTGGTCACGAATATGACATTCATTTTTGAGACAGAGGCGATCTGGCGCCAGTTTGGTGCCGCAACTCACTTTTTTACTGCATTTTTTGCCAACTTTGACCGCTCACAACTTGCCTAGAAAGGTCGCGTAGCAGTTTTGGTCTACATAGTATTCAGAACTCTACCGATCTACCTGGGTCTCCGTCCAAAGTTCCATGGGAAGTTGGAAGCATTCCTTGGTTAGTCCCGTTTTCAACAGAAGACATGCTTTCGCAGTTTCAAATGCATTGCCACAATGCCCCGCATATTGCGATAGCGCCCAATATTCTATTCTACTACTTCTGTGGTAGACTAGATCCCTGGTTTGGGAAGATCAAAACCCTTCTCAGGGAATATTTCATTATCTTCCAGCGAAACATTTCGTTGGAACAAAGCGCAACCAAATGTTTCTATGGTTCACAATAAAGAATCTAATCGTGGCGCATTCCGAAAAGATGGCTCATCGAATTCTCTATGACAATTCTTTAGAATGGTTGCCCAACCTAACAGCCTGAAAGATTCTGCGAAAATATAACACATTAAAAATGTGCTCGAATCTCCAAAAGAAGCTATTTCCAACGAACCGTCAGGATAGCGCTAGTAGTTTTTTGAATCACGAAACCTCTTTTACTTTGTCAATAGGTATACGGTATGTCAGACCTCCTGCTAGGCTCATGGTTAAGCGGCAAAGTTGAATGTAGTCCTTTCAACAGTCGGTTCGAAAGGACGTTTCAAGCTGAGCTCGTCTGAATAATGACACCCAAAACTGTTTGCCGTTCATTGAAGTTGCTGTGACCCTGAGCGGTCCACGAGGTCATTTGAGAGCAAATGTACTTTACTGTCTAGATCCCAACTAAGAGGTTGAGCAATCTCTACAAAAAATGCTGGTTCTTTGGAGTTTCAGCAGCTCTATTCGCTGAATTGAACTGAAGATGTTCTGGGGCGAGTGGGCCTTTGGCTATTACACCTCGATCGTATTGAGCCTCACACTAGCAAGATCACTGGTTCGTTGATGAGTTCTTCTACCGTGGACCCTTACCTCATTCTTTCACCTTTTCCAAAGAGCTACTGCAACTACATTCGCTATTTATTCGGAATTTAGTCCGTGGATGGTCTTTTCCAGCTGTCTGGATTGTATGTATTCCTTTTTTCAGGAATGCAGGGAGAATGAAGATGATAAAAAAGGCGGTGGCTGCAAATGAAAAAATCCGGGTTGCAGCATGTGTCTACTATTAGACGCATTTCCGAAGCAAGCAAATTAGTAGCTTTTCGCGTCGAAGGATAGCCTGAAATAGTTCATAGTGGTCCACATTCGAGCTTTGTGGGGTTTCAAATTGTGAGAACTTGACTACCTTCGTCTTCATTACAGGCGAGGTCGTCTTTATAAGAATTCGAACAAAATAATGAGAATTAACCTCGGCGTTTGATGAACTTCTTACTGATGTGTTTGGCGACGTTACCCTATGGACAATATCACATTAACGCCCGTTACTCAAAATTGACAATTACTCGTTCTGGATTTTAGCATAGTCTTTATTAAGCGATGACGCCTTATGGCTTAGGCTTGAGGAAACAATAGACTGCGAGTTGAAACCAATGATCGTACTGATGTTAAAATATTGGATTTGGAGTGATGCCCATTATTCACCGACTCATTTTGACAACGATCAAATAGCCCATCTCCAATCAATAATCTTCTTCGCTGCGCCACTTTTCACTTTGAAAAACGGCCAGCAGCGTTCCACGAAAAACCCCGTCATTGTCGCCTTTGCGGGAAATCGAAATAGTGACAAAGAGAGCGAAATGACGGCGTCTTTCATCTACGTCCCGTACGGATTACGGTAGACGTCATCGTGGGTAGATCAATATGGTGAATGGGGGAGGATTGTTGGGCCGATGAACGACATATCGTCAAGAGGTGCACGACGAATGAGGCGCGGAAATGGAGCAATTAAATGAGATGTGTGGCGAAAACGAGACTAAACCAGAGGTACGGTACCTGTCTTTCGGTGAGCTGCAAACTCTCAGAAATTTCCTGTCTTCGTTTCCTTGGTCAAGTACTTATTGTAGTGGAATTCCTTTTCGAGTTCCAGCGTCTGGTTACGTGAATAGGTTTGCCGCGTGCGTTTCGATTCTCCAGACTTTGAACCTGGAAAAAGGAGTGTAAGGAATGTAGCAATAAAGTGTAACTGCACTAGGAGTACGAGTTGTTGTTGTTAAGTTAGTTGTTGTGAGTCAGACTAGAGTTAGGTGGCTGGCTGGCTGGGTGGTAATGGCCGAACTGACTGACGTCTGGTTACAGTATACAGCCGCGATGCGACGTCAGTGGTCAGGTGGCAGGTCGCGTAGCGCACGCAGCGCGCTGCGGCTCCTTTCATCTGCGCGAATTCGCGATCTGCTTCTGAGATTTATGGTCGTCGCCCGTTGCCACAACACAGAGAGGCGCTTCGTATCGACATAAAATTATGCAAAGTCTCACAACATTCTCGGCCCAGAGTTTGCTTCCCTTAAACGTGAGCTTGCCGTAAGATAGACAGTAGGTATTGGGATAGGTGTTCAGGAGAATAAGCTTAAAATGAAAAATTTGAAATTAAAACGATATATTCCATTTTCAGATGGTTCCTAAACGTTCCAGGTAAGGTAATTTTTAGTGAACGAATGGTTACACAGCGGAAATCAGTGTTACGACGGTAGGGACGGCCGGGCTTGGAACGGAGATAATTAAGTGAACCCCAACTAAGAATTTCAGGGGAACTGCTTCGATAATGCTCTTGAATGAAGCCGTCTCAAGGTGTTACTGTAAAAGCAGCTGATGCAGCGTAGCTACTCTATTGGTTCAGACCGGAGATTAAAGAAGGCCTTATAATGGAGAGTAAAGGACCCGAAGGTAAAGCAGGACTCTCTTGAAAAGTTATTGTCCTGAGGCAGAGCATGAGCGATGAGCCCAAGAACAGGTTCCAAAGCCCCTTAGTTTAGACGATTTGGGTGATATCCCAGGTGGTCTGGAAAGCCTAATATTCCACTGTCGAGGCCTTCAACGGCACAGCACATTTGTACTGGTCCATGTGAACACTGAGGACCTTGCTAGGACCCAAAATATTCGAGTCAGGACTATCGCCTGATCGGCTGACCCTCAATAGGCACCCAACCTGGGTCCACAAGCCGTGAAGCTGCAGAACGTCGATATCCTTCTGCACCTGGTTAGCTATATGCCGTCACCCGTCACCAAGCTACAGTATCCAAATAAAGTCCAGCTCGACGAAATTTATGCTCATGCGATGCATTGCAGGCCGTACGCGACGTCTGTGTGCTGCGACTGATTTATGGAAAACGGAATGAAAACCCAATTTGAATCGGACGCTTCTTAGCCGTCCACCATATTGAGGCGACGAGACGAGAACGCGCAATATTGCGCATAATTACTCGCAAAATAAACTCTAATTCACGTCCGATTCGGTACGGCAATTCGCAGCCGCCGACGACGAGTGACGATGTGGTGACGCCCAGAAGGCGATGAGAGATACGGCAAAAACAAAGCAGAAAAGAAACGATAGCTGGGAAGCCCGTGGCAGCGTAGACAACCAAGGGAACTCCAACGAACGGTCCTGGTGCTGACGTTGTCGCCCCAGTTGTCCCTGTGAAACGCCGTTCAACGAAATCGATCGAATGCGTCTGCATGGGATACGGTATTGCGTGAGACTGGTCTAGTGAATAGATGAGAGCGAACTAGGAGAGACACCATTACCCTCCATTAAATGTACTAGATGAATAATTTGCAGTACTGTCATACCAAAAAAGTCCATAACAGCAATGATGCCTGAATTTTCTCCTATTTTACGGGAGTGTTGATGGGTGAGTAGCAAGAAATCGATCCAAATTGATTAAAATCGATCCAAATGATCATAACCAGGATCGATGAATGTTTATTATATCCATATGTTGATTAACTATGTGCCCCATATTTTCTAAATCTCGTCATTCTGAAAAAGTAGATTTTTGAATCCATCATGAGGAAAAAATCCAGGATTTGTCGAGAACCGCTACCATAAAATAAGTCATCGATTTATTGCAAAATACGTGTGTAATACTTTTATTAGGTGACCACATCTAGCGATGGAATAGATCCATCTTAGCATAGTTATTAAGAAAAGTTACCCTCTTACTTTTCATTGAAAGCTTGATTTTTGAAGCTTCTTACCGAGATTTTTGCGAAAAGTCACATATTTATAGCGGACGTGTATAAAAGCTGAGAGCCGTTCCCAGGCACACTGTTTTTAAACCCGGTTCACGATTTCTGCACGGATATTTAAGAATTTTCTTGTCAAATGAGGTGTTTGAGCTTTTTCATAAAATCCCAATCACAAGCTCATCAAAATCAGAAAATAAAGCAGGTCGGGGTACTGGGTAGCGCCTTCAAGTGGTCGATAAACATGTGATCCTATTACGCTCTTTTCTCAGAGGTCCAACACAGGGTTAGTTAGTGTTTGTTAACCTTATTTCTTGATTGAGCACGACCCAAACTTTAACTTCTTTCGCCTTAGCCATCAAGCATCTGCTTATTGAATTTAGGTAACTACTGGCTGTGAACAACTATGTATACCTAGTGATTTGCGAAATTGAACTCATTGAACGTAGTTCTGAGTTTTGATTAGAACGTTTAAAGTAGAGGATCGCTGGTCATGTACAGAAATATTGTCGAGATTTCTCCATCAAAACTAACGCAGGAAGGTCTTACCAGAACTGCCCAGGTTTTTCGAACGCTTATTGGCATGATCTAGGCTACTGAAACAGCAGGATGGCGTCGAATTTTCCTGACCATTGGATCTGATTGGTCCTAGTTTTAAGATATGACATAACTTGTTTACGATAGACCGTCATTTTTGGAATTTTTGAATTCGCCAAACAAAATGAAACTTGTCACTGCGAGATTTTAACACGGATTGACTTCATCCCTTTTTTGGTGTCAGAGGGCCATCCGAGGAAAAACAAACTACATGAATGGAAACCATTTCGACAAAGTTGGCATTTTGGAAGAGCTTCTCGTAAGAGTCTAAGACGTTCTTATGTCTAGGAACCAACATCAATTACAATGACTAACTAAACTTATATAAGTTTCTTCCAGTAATTTCCATTCAGGTTAGATCTCCTGTATGAGGAATCAAGCTGCCGGAGGGCGGGGGGGCGGGGAGCTAAGATCCAAAGTTCTAACTATCGAATCAGAATCCATCAATGCACACGGAGCGTTACATGACCTGCTGGTAAGTATACTCGAAGAATCGACTGTGTAAATAATAAGAAAATATTAATATAGGCTGTTGTTAGACAGGCGATTTATTCAGGTGAAATCTTAAATCACAGTCAGGTGATGCTCCACAAATGTTTGTTGAGAACATTAAATTTGCTAGTTATAAAGTTATTTTACATTTGTGGATTACTTGAGAAAGCTTGCTACGGAGTAAAATGACAGGTGAGTTAAAATCGGGTAGAGAAGGATTTGTTTAGTAACTACGGTTGGACCAATTCGTAGGACCAATTAAGCAGAGAAGTGAGAAGTGCTATTTCACATCCACAAACCCTGCGCTATTTTCTTTGTAGAATCATGCACCTAAACATTATTTAGGTTTTATTAAGTAATTTCGATCATAGGATGTTCGCTTAGATGATTCAACTGGCAAACTGATTGTTGGCGTTGGGACAAATAGCATTACTGACAATATTATGGAACCATTTCAGCAACAAATTGTGCAAATTAAGGCAAAAAAATCGTAGGATAAGTTGGGAAAAATTCGTGAATGAGGTGTTATTGAACAAAGCAAAAAGGCGCGTCAGTAGCCTTCAGTGTGTATGCAAGTGAAGATGGTCAATCGGATAGACACACTGGCGGGACGCGAGAAATTTATGGACAGCGAGGCAAGAGGCATCGTAAAACTTGCACGACTGGCCCCTCTACTCGCAACCACAACTGATCGCACCGTGTTTCATCCTATCCGAGATTAACGGATAGAGGTCCTTCTCACTTGTCCGCAACCCACCGAAGCTTTCCTACCATGGTCCTGTGGCGTCTCAGGCAGGACTTCAACCATTCTCAGATATCTGTGAGCCCAGAAGTTTCATCAGTCCGTTCTCTTTCCTAATTTTCCCAGACTCTAATTCAAGAAGAACTTGACAACCTTCAAGTCACTAGCGAAATTACGGTAGACGACGAGCGGTTGCGTCGCGGACGCGCAGGTGTCGTCAGCGGACAAATACACGGCAGTTGGAGGGTCGGGCGGCAGATCAAAGCGATGCCGCCTCGGCAATATTTCAAACATTTTGACGGCTTGCACCAGTTGTTTCTCTAACGCACTCAACATTCCCTGCTGTTTCAAAAACGACACTGAGACCGGACAGCACACAAGATTTTCCAGCCCACACGAAAAAGTCATGGGTGTTCTCCTTGGTGGAGAAGAGAATTCCGAAAGATGATCAAAACGCGCTAATTTTGGAGACCGGGGATATCCCTAAAAGTTCATATAAATCTCATGGCGTCGATTCGGCTGACCCTCGCAAACGCTTCAGGCTAAGGTTTGGGCCATTTTCCGTCGTTTCTGTCGTGGACGCTCGTTTTTCGCGATTTTCCGGCATGCTGCCCGTAATTTTGCTCGTCATGTCTCGAATTGGTGGTGGGCAAAATGCCGGTTGGCGATGATGAGCGCTTCAGTTTATCGCATCACCGTCATCGACAAGGCGCAAGACTGCTTCATGACACCACTGGCGGTTAGTTCATCATCTGAGAAGGTCTACAATTACCGGAATTGGACACAGACGTTTGGGCATAGACGGCCGAGACCAGACGTTTCAAACTCGCTCATGTGTTCCCTGCCAGCCTCAGATCATCATTTATCGGCGCTGAGAGATCGTCGCACCTGAGGGCCGCAAAAACAACGACGTGCTGCCGCATCGATTCTTCTCGGTTACAATTGCCTAATCGATACTATTCTGTGGTTGCGGTTCTCTAAACAGGAAAGAAGCTTGCTACATAAGGGATTGCCAGACGGGGAAAGGGAACCCTGTCCTGGATGGGAAATCAATGCGAAGAAGAAAGATGGAGTGCTGAGCGTTGATCAACCCCTTGAAGATGCGCCGCGCATCCTCCTTCACCCCGAAATTACGGCGTGTTTTCAAGCTCACTTTTCTTGAACAAGAACTTCTACTGATCTCCTACGGAAAATGTTCTGGTAATTTATGCAAACAGTTGGAAGGAGCTCTTACGGACATGAGGGCCATGTGCGGGTACTTATTTTGGGCCTAGGGCCACCACTACGAAGCGGAACTGCTGTGTTCCGCTTTCTCTGAAGTGGAAGGGATTATTGCATTCAGATAATACATCGCCAATGAC